TGGGAATATCTATGGAAGAATTCCAACACCTCTTCAAATTACTGGAAGGGGATCCATGTTTGATGTCTTCTCACTCACCCCCCCTTCTGCACAAACCACCCTTGATAAAGTGGTTGTAAAATTAACCAGTCAAGTTGCTCATAGGCAAAAAATGGACCACCCTATTAGCCTTTTCATTTTTTATTCATCTTTTCAACCCTATGGGCTCTTAGCACAGTGGGTTCCACTGATTATTTGGGAATGGAAATTTTTGTCACATAATTTTGGAAAAACAGTTACAACGGCCATTGAAATGATAGCTATGGTCATTCAGAAAGGAAGAGAGCGGTTATTGACTTTAGATGATGTTGAACCTAACATTATCTATCTGCCTCTTGATACAAAAAAACTAACCTTTTTAACTCACCAGTCTTTTGCTTTTCAGTGTGCTCTAGCAGATTTTACAGGGCAAATTAGTACTCATTTCCCAGGACACAAAGTTGTGCAATCCCTATAGTCTCTTCCTCATTTGCCTGCTTCACAATTAACTATTACGGCAATAACTGAGGCCCTCACAGTATTCACTGACAGGTCTGGCAAGACAAGCTGAGCAGTAAGTTTGGAAAGATGCTGAAAGACATTGGAAAAATGATATACACATATACACATTGTCACAGGATCACCTCAGGTAGTAGAACTCTCTGCTGTAGACTGTGTTTTTAAATTATGGATTACTCTGATAAATATTATCACAGATTCCGCCCATGTGGCAGGCCTTGTTTCTAGGCTAGAACACTCTTTTCTGAAGGAAATTTCCAATTTTGCCCTTCTCTGGGAGCTCAAGTGGCTCCTGGATCGATGGGTACACCCATACTTTATATGCTCACATACTTCTCTACCTGGACCTATAAGCAAGGGAAATACACAGGCTGATAGGCTTGCAGGTTTTGCACAAGCTCACTTATCCCATGAATTTTATAATCAAAATGCAAAAGCTCTGCAATGTGCTTTTCAGCTGACTCAGGACCAGGCGAGGCAAATCATACAATCGTGTCTTGATTGTCAACAAGTTTTGCCCACACCAATGATTGGAACTAATCCTTGCAGTCTTTTGTCATTTGAAATTTGGCAGACAGATGTTACCCATGTACCAGAATTTGGCAAATACAAATATGTCCATGATTCTGTTGACACTTTTTCATCTTATATTTATGCATCGGTACATTCAGGTGAAAAGGTCAAAGATGCTTGTCGACATTTTATCACAGCTTTTACTACCTTGGGAGTTCCAAAAACCATAAAAACAGATAATGGCCCAGGTTATATAGCACACAAAACACAAGCATTTCTTCAACAGTGGGGAATTCAACATGTCACAGGTATTTCACATTCTCCCCCAGGCCAAGCTATTATTGAATGCACACATAGCACCCTTAAAACTATGTTGCAGAAACAAAAAAGGGGAAGTTCAGGGTTAACCCCACAAGAACGTATAGTGAAAGTTTGTTATGTTTTGAATATTTTAAATTGCTGGATGGAGGATGGACCTCCTATACAACACCATTTTGGGGGTTCTAAGAATTTTGAACAGGGGAAAGCTCATGTTAAAGAACGTAATCTTGAAACTCATTAATGGGAAGGACCGTTCCCTTTAATAACCTGGGGATGAGGGTATGCTTGTGTTTCCACAGATAAAGGACCTCACTGGATCCCTGCACAATGGGTTTGTCCTGCCTTGTCTTCTGTCTCTTCATCACAAGAGGACTGACCCTACTGAGGTTTCCCACCCAGCCAAAAGAACATTAGCCAATGTGACAGGACAAGACACCCTGTGCCTGTCGGTTGCCAGACCTACGAGTCCTCTCAGACTGCTGATGGAAGCAATGGCAGCCTCGAATCCAGCGGACATGTGGGATGGCTGGCAGGTATAACAACACAGCCACAAGAAATTGATTTGTTAAGATCTATAAAAATGGATATGTATCTGTATTTTCATTATATAATTCAAAGCCAATTGTTAGTGCAGAATGTTAACTGCTCTTCAACTGTTTATTTGCTAGGCTAGGAGCATGAGTGAAAAATTGTATGAAGAATGTTTGTTTTCTTAGTTTTTATTAGCTTATACAGTTTCTTATTAATCGAGCCCTTAAGCAGATAATAACAGTGAATATACAAAACAAAGAAGGGGGAGATGTGGGGAGGGAAGATGATAAGATTTACATGAAGAACAGTTTGGGAAAGAGCTCTGAGGGCTTGGTGCTTTGACCAGCCCTGGGGCGATGAGTTGGGTCATTGAAGGCCAGAGGATGTGGGGGTTGTGAGAGGGTCTGCAGTACTGTGATAGGACTATTTACCTGGACAGCTTTACAGGGGCCAAAGAGATCGAATGTTGTGTGTATGTGCAGGTTGGGAAAGTACCGAAAAGGGGAATAAAAAGGGCTTGGTTGTAATTAAGTTGGATCCGAGTCTCTGCATCAACTTGAGTCCGTGTCGTGAAATGCCACGTGGCCCGGCACAAGTAATCCAAGAGGTTCCTCATTTGTGTGGAAGACAACTTCCTTTTACAAGTAATAGAGGAGCTGACAAGGAGAGGTGCCATGCTTGACCTTGTGCTCAACAACAGGAGGGGCTCATTGGAAATGTGATGCTCCAGGGCAGCCTTGGCTGTAGCCATCATGAGATAGTGGAGTTCGAAATCCTCAGGACAGTGAGAAGAGCGTGCAGCAAGCTCATTGCCCTGGACTTCAAGAGAGCAAACTTTGGCCTCATCAGGAACCTGCTTAGTAAGGTTCCATGGGATATAGCCCTAGAGGGCAGGGGGGCTCAAGACTGCTGATTGATGTTCAAGGATCACCTGCTACAGGATCAGGAGAGTTGCATCATGAATAGAAGGAAATGCAGCAGGAGGGCCAGGAGGCCTCCATGGATGGATAAGAAGCTGCTGAGGAAATTCAGAGGGAAAAAAGAAGCTTATAAAAGGTGGTAGTGAGAACTGGTGGCCTGGGAGGAATACAGGGACATTGCTGGGGAAGCTAGGGACCAGGTCTGGAAAGCTAAGGCTTAATAGAATTAAATATGGCAAGGGATGTGAAAGATACGAGGAAGGGATTCTACAGGTACGTAGCAAATAAAAGACAGACTAGGACACTGTCGGCCCCCTCTGGAAGCCATCAGGAGAACAGGCTACACAGGATTTGGAGAAGGCTGAGGTTCTGAATGACTTCTTTGCCTTGGTCTTCACTGGCAAAGGCTGTGACTACACCACCCAGGTCTTGGAAGGCAGGCACAGGGACTGTGAGAATGAAGACCTTGGGCCCACTGTATGAGAAGATCAGGTTTGAGACCATCTTAAGAACCTGAATGCACACAAGTCCATGGGACCAGAAGAAATCCATCTTCAGGTCCTGAAGCAGCTGGCGAATGAAGTTGCTAAGCTACTGGCCATCATATTTGAAAAATCATGGCTGTCAGGTGAAGTTCCCCATGACTGGAAAAAGGGAAATATAACACCCATTTTCAAGAAGGCAAAAATGTATGACCCAGGGAACTACAGACCAGTCAGTCTCACCTCTGTGCCTGGCAAAACCTTGGAGCAGATTCTCCTGAAAGCATGCTAAGGCACATGAAAAACAACAAGGTGGTTGGTGACAGCCAGCATGGCTTCACTAAGGGGAAATCCTGCCTGACTAATTTGGTGGCCTTCTATGATGGGGCTACAGAGAACTGATGGACACGGGCAGAGCAGCTGACATTATCTACCTGGACTTGTGCAAAATGTTTGACACTGTCTTGCACAATGTCCTTGTCTCTAAACTGGAGAAACATCAATTTGATGGATGAACCACTTGGTGGATAAAGAATTGGCTGGATGGTCGCATGGAAAAAATTGAGGTCAATGGCTCAATGTCCATCTGGAGACTAGTAACGAGTGGTGTCCCTCAGCGATTGGTGTTGGGATCGATCCTGTTCAATATCTTTGTCAGCGACATGGACAGTGGGATTGAGCGTGCCTTCAGCAAGTTTTCTGAAGACACCTAGGTGCGTGGTTCAGTTGATATGCTGGAGGGAAGGAATGCCTTCCAGAGAGACCTTGACATGTTTGTGAGGTGGACCAACGCCAACCTCATTAAGTTCAGCCAAGCCAAGTGCAAGGTCCTACACCTGGGTTGGAGCAATCTCAGGCACAGATACAGGTTGGGCATAGAAGAGACTGAGAGCAGCCCTGTGGATAAGGATTAGGGGGTGTTGGTTGATGAGAAACTTAACATGAGCTGGCAGGGTGAGCTCGCAGCCCAGAAAGCCAACCGTATCCTGGGCTGCATCAAAAGAAGTGAGACCAGCAGGTTGAAGGAGGTGATCCTGCCACTCTACTCTGCTCTCGTGAGACCTCACTCGGAGTACTGTGTACAGTTCTGGTATCTTCAACATAAAAAGGACATGGAACTGTTGGAACAAGTCCAGAGGAGGGCCACAAGTATGATCAGGGGGCTGGAGCATCTCCCATGTGAAGATAGGCTGAGAAAGTTGGGGCTGTTCAGCCTGGAGAAGTATCTGAAGGGGGCCTATAAGGATGCTGGGGAGGGACTCTTCATTACGGACTGCAGTCATAGGTCAAGGGGTAATGGGTTCAGACTTAAACTTGGAAGTTTAGGTTAGATATAATGAAGAAGTTCTTAACTGTGAGGGTGGTGAGACACTGGAATGGGTTGCCTAGGGAGGTTGTGAATGCTCCGTCCCTGGTGGTGTTCAAGGCCAGGTTGGACAGAGCCTTGGGTGACATGGTTTAGTGTGAGGTGTCCCTGCCCAACGCAGGGGGTTTGGAACTATATGATCTTAAGGGTCTTTCTAATGCTAACTAGGTATTCTATGATTCTATGACTCAGGCATTTTGCCAGCAAGAACATTTACAATTTCAAATATACTTTTCTGACTGTAAACTGAAAAATTAAGAGCACCAAAAACTCTGTCCTTTTTAAGCACAAACATGGATCTGAAGCAAGTGCAGTAGGTGAACACAATACCTTGAAGACCTTTAGGTAGCTCCATGGATTTTATGATTTGTTCACTGACATCCGAGGCGCTGAGGCCCTGTAGCCTCTTCTCCCAGAAAAGCTATAAAAGAAATAAGATTGTTCATTCAAAATCACAATAATAATAATAATTAATAATAATAATAAACAACAACCCATAAATCAGCTCATGGAAATAAACACGATCAAAACAGCATCAGAACAATAAAAGACAGACAGTGCCTAGCAGCTTACAAAATAATCAAACTAACAGTCACGTAAGCTACCAAAAATGGTGGTGGGAATACCCGTTTGGCTAGTTTGTGTCAGGTGTCCAGTCTCTACTTCCTCCTGGCTTCCTCTCCTCCCTGGCAGAGCATGAGACTCAGAAAGTCATTGGTCAGAGTAAACATTACTTAGCAACTACTAAAAACATCGGTGTTATCAGCGTTGTTCCCAGGCTGAAAGTCAAAAACACAGCACTGCACCAGCTACTAAGGAGAAAAATGACTGCTACTGTTGAACCCAGGACACTGGCTTACTAGTCTGAAGATTCATCCTGAAGTTCTCGTCTGGAGATTAGCCACACCTATTCTTTAAAATGGGACTTTTCAAATTACCATAATGATAATTATGTGTCCTGTGTTCAGATTCCCACAGATGTGATCAACAATGTAACAGCAATGTCTCCACCAAATAATGAGAAAGAAACACAAGCTTTCTTAGGTGTTGTTGGTTTCTGGAGAATGAACATCCCAAATTACAGTCTGATTGTAAGTTCTCTCTATCACTTGACCCAGAAGAAGAATAATTTCAAATGGGACCCTGAGCAACAACAAGCCACTGAAAAAATTAAATGAGAGTTCATGCAGTAGCCCTTGGACCAGTCTGGACAGGGCCAGATGTGAAATATGTGCTTTACACCACAGTGGAGGAGAATGGTTCTACCTGGAGCCTCTGGCAGAAAGCTCCAGGGGAGACGCAAGGTCGACCCCTCGGCTTTTGGAGCTGTGCAAAGGCACAGCTGGAACTATATCTGGCCACTGCCATTAAAGATAATAAAAAGCACTTCTTCAAATTTATTAGCAATAAAAGGAGGTCTCAGAATAACCTCCATTGTGTACTGGATACTAAGGGAAACCTAGTGATGAGGAAAAGGCTGAGGTACTTCATACTGCCTTTGCCTCAGTCTTTAATAGTCACACCAGCCATCCTCAGGGTACTCAGTTCCCTGAGTTGGATGGCAGAGATGGGGAGCTGATTGAAGTACCCATAATTCAGAAAGAAATGGTTAGCAACCTCCTGCTCCACTAAGACATATACAGGTCTATGGGGCCGGATGGGTTCCACCCAAGAGTGCAACCTCCCTCCGAGGAGCTTGCTAAGCCACTCTCCATCATCTATTAGCAGTCCTGGTCTAGTGGGCAGGTCCCAGAGGATTGGAGGTTGGCCAATGTGACGCCTCTATACAAAAAGGGCAGGAATGAAGACCCTGGAAACTATAGGCCTGTCAGCCTGACCTTAGTGCCAGGTAAGGTCATGGAGCACATGACCCTAAGTAAGATCATAAAGCACATGTGGGAAACTGGAGAGATCAGGCCCAGTCAGCATGGTTTCATGAAGGACAGTGTGGAGACAAGTGTTCTCACAGGAGAATGGATAATTGGTACATAAACTCTGAAAATCCTGAAAGATACAACAAGGCCATGAGAGGCCCAAGGAAGCTTAAGCAAGCAAGATAAGAAGAAGATGGAATTCACTGAGGTAATGAGAACTGTGGACTGTTGGCAAGCTTTCAAGGTCAAGTTCTCACACCTGTGCTTAACCAGTTATATGCTAGTTGCAAAGGGTCTTCAAGACATGTATCCAATCATAATATGCCAAATCACTGTAAGTGCATGTAAGAAATAGTATTTAAGGGGTTAAGGCTTTGTAATAAACGGCTTTTGTCTGATCATATTGATCTCTGACTGAGTCCATATATTTTCTGCAGCAAATGGCGCCTGAACAGGGACCCCCCATATTTTTCATATTGAAACTGAAGGAATTAAAGCGCGTGGCACCAAAGAAAGTGGAAAACGCGGAGCCGCAGGTACGTCGGCTGGGTTTGATCCGGTAGGACCAGGATCAGGAGGTAGTCGCCTCGGAATGGAGCCTAGTGAGCCCGGAAGACACTGCGCAGTGCAAATAAGGTAACAGCCGACGGGGTCTGGAAGAGGGTTTGGATGGGGAATCAATTAAGTAAAGAAAAAATGGTCATCCTTAAGCTCTTCCAGCATATCCTCTCAGTGAGAGGGATAGAATATGACGATAATCTGTTAAAAAGATTGTTGCTCTGGAGTAAAGAAAAAGAGCTGATCAAGGGGGTTAATGAAGCTTTTGATCTCGAGACTTTGAAAAAAATTGGGGCACGCCTGTGGGATCAAGTTACTTGTGGGTCCAAGGAGGCGAAGTCTCTTGCTGCCCCCGGTTACTACTAAAAGGGACTCTAGCCGTAATGAAGTCTGAGAAACAGGCAGCAAAATCCATTTTTACAGCTCTCTCTGACTCGCCTTCACAACAGCAGGGCTCAGCACCTACATTAGATTCAGCACCCGGTGCTACAACCATGCTAGTGTCGTCTGCTTCAGGCATAAAACATTCTGGTCAAAAACTGGCGCGCAGTACAGTACGAAAGTTTGAGGACCCTGCGCCTTTCCCCTATCCTGTGTCAACAATGCCTTTACCGGCAGTAGCTCCAGCTGATACTCAGGAGTCAGTAGCGGCTACTGAGCAACTGAAACAAACTGATGTTAACCCTTTTCGTGCTGCTACTGCCCCTGAACTTAGTCCCCAAGAATTTTTGCCGGGGTGGGAGTCTCCTGAGGAGGAGAGTGTAACTCCGAATAAATACCCACCCCTGCCACATACGCCACCGCTTGCATCGCTCCCACTGGAGCTGCAAAATGAGTGGAACTGGGGGCAATGGACAAAATCCTTAGATAAGCAATTGCAGGACTTGCGGGGACAGATTGACAGAGGCTATCGAAAAGAATATTGATCTGGCATCTAATGCTAAAGAATCGATGCTTATGTCTCTGGCTATGGAAAATGCTAACCCAGCTTGTAAGCGTATTTTGCAGGTTTTGCCAAAATCTGCTGGTCTTCAAGAAATGATGGATGCATGTTCTAAAGTGGGCACAGCAGAGGAAAAGGCTGGATACATGGCTACTGCCTTCGCCGCTGCTGTTAAACCCCTTCTACAACAAGGTCAGGGTGATCGTGGGGGTACTAAAGGTATGAGATGTTATATTTGTGGACAGATGGGGCATTTTAAAAAGCAGTGTACTGTAAAGAAAATCAGTTCAGCAACCCGCCCCCCTCAATGTGGTGTTACTGATTTTGCAGACAAATGTTACCCTCTTTTGGGAAATTGAAATATGTCCATGTTACTATTGACACTATTCTCCTACAGGACAAGCTATTATTGAACGAACACATCAAACTTTGAAACAACTGTTGGAAAAACAAAAAACGGGGGAAGAAGGACTTACACTGGTAGCAAGGATACAGAAAGCTGTATATGTTATGAATTTGTTGCGATTGACAGGAGACTTTAATGATCCCCCCGCCATAATACATGGTCAGGCATTAGGTGCAGGTTATATGACTAAAACTCCGGGTATTCTGGTCCAGTATAAGGATTTGGAAACTGGCATTTGGAAAGGTCCTGCAGAAAGTAAAACTAACTGGTCGAGGTTATATGTGTATAATTACAGATTCCGGTCTGCGGTGGGTGCCAGCTCGATGGGTGAAACCCTGGAAAGAGCCAGCACCACCCCAGGACAACCCCCTTGTCAGTGATTGAATTAATTGAAATTTCAGCTTAGGACTTCCGTTTTATGGATGTTTTCAGTCCTTCTTAAAGTGAAGAGAGCAATCTTTTTTACGTTAAAGTAAAAAAAAAAAAAAAAAACAAAAAAAAACACCCCCCCCCCAAAAAAAAAAAAACCACACCATCCACAACCCCCCCTTCCCGAACCTACAGCGAGACAAACACGGGATACAGGCATATTGTGTGCCTTTTCGGTGGTGGGAAGGTCTTTCATATGTTCTTATCAGGGGTACTGGGCATAATGTGACTCATTTAATACAGTCTCTCTGTGATACTCATGAACTAGAAGTTGGTAAATATAAGTATGTCCAGGTTTCTATCAACCTTTGGAGATATCGCTGGCCACTTCTTCCAGCACAGGCTGGCCACCTGTGTCGGAATGAGTGTGCATTTTGGTCAGTATAAAAGCCCAAGCCTCATGCGCTGTGGGGGAGGCAGAGCCTCTGCGGGGCACCCGCTAAGGTTGAGCCTGCCACCTCACACTGCAATAATGCTTCTTGGAGCTGGTTTCCTGTTAGTCTCCACAGGGTCCTTCTGCCACATTCTGTACGTGGGACTGTAGTGGAAGTAATGATTGTCTGGATTTTGTGCTTCAAATATTGTAGTTGTGTGGAGTGTGCTTGTGGGATCCCACACGCGTGTGTGTGTGTGTTGAGGGCAATCGGTGTTTTATGTATTGTTGGGTTCATGTAAAAGTTTTTAACGGGTAGCTGTTTAACATTTCGGGCATGAAAGGGCTAATGTAAAAGTGCGGCTGCCGGCAGGTATTTATACCTGCTGCTGAAGCAGACAGGCGGCTGTAGCTGCTGCCCAGCAGGCCGGCTTTTGCAGGAATCCAAAAAAAAAAAAAAAGGGGGGGGGAGAAGAAGAGCTGATGCAGCAAACTCCACGACAGTTAACAATGTGCAGTTTAACCTGCCTACTTCTAAAGAACTGATAACCTGGGGGAGGGGGTATATTTGTGTCCTCCTGCCTACAGGTCCATGGCGACTGCCTGCAAAGTTTGTCAAGCCTTGCCATGAGGTGGACAGACAAATGGAAAAACCTGATGCCTCAGCTACAGGAGCTGACCGTGAATACCCCAAGCAGAATGAGACAGTGGAAGAGAAAGAACAAATAACTGCAAAACATCACTTGGGGACAACTGAAAAGTAACATCCTGAATATGTGTGCTTGTAAAGTAGCTATTATTAGAGGTTGTGATTTTGTGTATAAAACCACCTGTATTT